TAACCTTGGAATTAAAATTTATTTTCTGCAGGTAAAGGTAAATGGCTTTGATTTGGCATCATCCTGTTAACTGAGAATAGGGATATAAGATTATGGTTTCTTTCCAATGTAGTAAATCTTGAGCTGCAGCTGTTGAGATATTTAGTTTATTTACTTTTAATGGTAAAACTCTTCATGTGCTTCTTTCATGTTTGCAACAAACATGAATGGCAACCAGCAGAAATAGATCACCTGCTAGTTTAGGTGCAGGTAATAAGGGAAAACTAATTCCTTATTTTTTAAAAAAAACTTTTCACTGATTTCTCCTATAGTACATGCTTAATTATCACATATTAAAAGGAAAAGTGATATGATAATTCCGAAGTTAGGAATAATCTGTATAACATATAGATGTCATGGGTTTAAGAACTCACAGTTACAACAAAATAAAGACATGGAAGAATTTAGATACTCTCACATTTAGAAATGTAGGGAGAACTAATATTAAGTATCTGTCTGATTGCTTCTTGGAGACCACTACAGAGTCTTCTTATTTATTGTATCAAGAGTAAGCTGGAATAACTGTATTAATCTACATGGAAAAAGAAAAGCAGAAAACACAAACTGGAAGCAAATATTTCACAAATGAGCTTCAATCTAATAGAAAGAAGGGTGACTTTCCAAATTAAGCCTAGGAATCTGTTGCTAGTTAGTTTATGAAATCTTCCATTTATTTGTTTCTTTTGTAGCAGTTGTTTATGATATTCTGTATAAAATGGGCATTCAAAATGTCTGATATCCTTGGAAAGAAGTACTAAAAGTTTTCTGTATAGATTTTCTTTGCATTTATATTAAGCTTACATTTTTCCTCCCCTTGAAATTGAGGTTCTTTCTTTTTACATTATTTACAGTGTAATTATAATCTTTCCTTCTATATAATCTTTTGAGAAACAAATTATACAATGTCATCAAGTATGAAAAGATTATGGTGCTTACCATAACAAAGAATTTCAGAGTTTAGGTATGGAATATTGACTAATTGAATTTTGTAAACATGAAACTTGATGATTTTCCTTTCTTCCATTTTACTCAGTGGTAGTAAGTAAGTGCTTAATTGCTTGTTGCCAGAGGGAGCTGTCCTGTGCATTGTACGATTTTTAGCAGCCTCCTGGTCTCTGCTCACTAGATGCCCATAGAACTCTCTCTTTGCACCCACCCCTCCCAGCTGTGACAGCCAGAAGTATCTATAGACAGTACTGAAATATGGGGAGCAAAACAGTCCATTTGAGAACTATAGCTATAGGTTCGTTTTTCCATTCTAGCACTTCATACAAATAGAATCACATAGGATACTTTATTTGTGCTTGCTTTCTTTAAGCATAATGGTTTTGAGATTCATCTAGTTTGTTACATGTACCACTTGGTTGTATCATTTTACTAAGTAGGATTCCAGTGTAGATAACTACGATTTGGTTAAACATCACTTTTTGTTTATATTTTCTTAAAATCCTTAAAAACAACTGCTTTAAAATTTTGGGCTGCTGATTGTATCACCTCAGTCCTTTCTGAGTCTTTGTATTTTTTTTTTTCTCTTTTTTTTCTCTTGCGGTACGCGGGCCTCTCACTGATGTGGCCTCTCCCGTTCTGGATGTGCAGGCTCAGCGGCCATGGCTCACAGGCCCAGCCGCTCCGCGGCATGTGGGATCTTCCCGGACTGGGGCACGAACCCATATCCCCTGCATTGGCAGGCGGACTCTTAACCACTGCACCACCAGGGAAGCCCATGGGCTGCTAATTGTATCACCTCAGTCCTTTCTGAGTCTTTGTATTAACTGGTTTAACTACTGGTTATGAGTCGTTTTTTCCCCCTTTCTCATGTTAGTAATTTTTAATTGAATATTCAACATTATTAATTTTACGTAGCTGAGTGCTAGATTTTGTTGTCTTTAAAGAGTAATGGACATTTTTGGGCATGCAGTCAAGTTACTCGTGGATCAGTTTGATCATTCAGGGCTTTCATTTTTTTGTTAGGGTAGGTACAAATTGTCTTTATGGCTAATTTAACTCTGTTACTAAGGTGTGACTCTTCTGGTCTGTGGAACACTCTGGTAATTAAGGAGGACTCTTCACACTCTGTTTGGAACTTGGACATCTTCTAACCCTATGTGTACTCTGGAAATTGTTCATTTTACAGCTCTTAGCTGTTCTTTACCCAGTCTTGTGGAGCTTCACTCTTCAACTGCACAGCTGATTCTTTGCAACCAACTTGACAAAGACTTATACAGATTTCTGGAGTTCTTTCTTTGTTCATCCTCTTCAGTACTCTGATCCATAGATTTTAGTTTCCTCAGCCTCTCTGCAATTTGACTTCTGTCTCTTTAACTCAGCCAGACCTCCGGGGCATCCCCCTTCCTGCACAGTGATGTTGAAAGTGATTCAGGAAAAAAAACAGGGCCCAAGTGTAAAAGTTACCTCATGAATTTCCCTTTTCTCAGACATGAGGGTCCTGTACTGCCTATTGGCCAGTGTCTGAAAACTGTTTGGATATATTTTACCCATTTTTCAAGTTGTTTATGCAGGAAGGCAAGTCTGTTTCTGGTTCCTCCATCATGACCAGAAGCAGGACTCTGGTTTTTAATTTTTTTGTGTGATTATAAACATAGAAATTTTGGCAAACATGAAATCCTGTGTATCGTTCATGCTTGTTCTACTCCCCAGATCACTGATTCAGAGTTACTGTATTCCTATGGTACCATTCCTTTGATTCCATTTCCCCTTGCCTCATTCTCCATGCCCAAGGGCTTTTGCTGGAGTAAGATTATAGTCTCTCTCTGGACTTCCTCACTTATTCTGTACAAAGTTGGGAAAGAAAAATGTTTGGTAGGTGAATTTTGGAGAAGGAATGGAAAATCTTAGAATAGCCTACTTAAAGGCTGTATTTCCAAGTTAGCCTAGCTTTTTTTTTTTTTTTTTTTTTTTAAAAGTTTTTTTAAGTTAGCCTATCTTTAGATTATACTCATGCCTTTCCTAACAAGAGCAGTCAGGAGAGGCCTTTTGTTGTCTGTCATTGTCTGTGATTGAATATATTCAGTGCAGGGGAGATACTTGTAAGTCTGTGTGGCAGGAGATCCAAGTTATGGTGCCTAACTTAGCTGTTATAGTACTAGCACTGATACTTTGAACTCCATTTATCTTCTCCTGTCTACTTTTCATTTGGTTCCAAATTTAGAGGTGGGGAATAAAGGAACTGTTTCCCTCAAACTTGGTAACATCACAGATACAAATTTTCGATAAACATATCAAATCACTAAATATTTTTAGCTGTGACGCTGCATATTGAAGAGCTCACGCTTCCACTGAGAGCTGAGGGAAACGATAACCAGAGGTTATGAGCATACAAAGTTGTCTCTCTAGGAGTCTTGCAGGCACTCTGTCTCCAGCTCAGCATTTGTTTATTGTCTCAAATCAAATTTCCAGGTACTAAATTGGGCCCTTTAGCCTTTCTACCAATTGGTAGATTCAGATGCATACCACATTTGCTGCTTCAGAATTGTTTACAGTCTAGTGCCTGTGCTCTTTTCCTTAGAATGAGATGAAAAAGCAAAATAGAATAGCAAATGTGAAAGGAGAGAGACAGGAGAGCAAGATGAGGCTGTAGAGCCGGAGGGAAGAGGGAAAAGATAACAGGATTTTTAAAAAGCAGGTAATTTACAGAAGAGCTGTATGGACATTCTCTATTTGAAGGAGATGGTGGTGGTTATAAAAGGCAGGCTTACACATGGATAGAAAGAGTGACACAGAAGGAAACAACGATGAAAAACAAACTGCATTTGTCTTTCCAGTCATGTGCCACTAGTGATTTTTTATAGCAGTATAACGGACTCTTAACAGTATTATATTAGTTTCAGGTGTACCACATAGTGATTCAGTATTTTTATAGATTATGCTCCATATAAAGTTTTTATAAGATACTGGCTACATTCTCTGTGCTGTAATTATATCCTTGTATCTTACTTTACACCTATGGGAGGTTGGGCAAGATCAGTGAAGGGGATTAAGAGGTACAAACCATTAGTGATTCTTAATAGGTTCTAGATAGTTTGTTCTCAGGAAATAAGTAATGTAGATATTCTAAATGGAAACTATAAAAATTCCATTTTAATGCTGTTCAGTTGTCTTTTACCTAACTTATATTGAGATGCATTTAACATTAATACTCTGCTGTTAATATAATTTTCAACAAAATTATCAGCTTTGATATTTCTTGTTTAAAGGTTTTGAGAATCTTTATTAAAAATAATAATTTTCTCCTTTGACTAAATCAGTTTCATTTTTCTCTAGATATTGCTTCTGATTGAGGCCATTTATGGAATATTACAGAATCATTCTGGTCTTGATACTTAAAGAGAATAGATTAGATTAGTACTAAATATCAGAATTATACACTCTTCCAACAAAACAGTTCTTTCTGGTTTATGTGTATATTTATGAGTGTGCATATGTTTGGTATATTTGTATACTCATGATGATTGTATGAAAGAATATGTCTGTAGCTTTGATATGAGAAGGTGTTTTTAGTGACCTAATTGTCAAATGCGGAAAGTTACATAAATTATGATTTATATACTTAATCATATAATTTTATATATGATGACCATGAGGACTGTGTGAGGATATGTAGCTGCTTTTTTAGGACTAAATAAAACCAGTTTAGACCATTGGAATGATATGTATGTCTTTTTTTGTTGTTGTTGTTGTTACATACGCTTCTTATGTATGTCTTGATTATGCTCAATTATGCTCCTACCTGTGTATTATTGTATATGTATACACACAGGCATACACACACACACACATGCTTTATGACATGTAAGTTTCATGAGGGCAAGTGCCCTTGTCTGTCTAGATAAAATAAAATACTTTTTCTGGAACTTGTAACTGTTTACATAATTAAGTTGAATACTTACTTTTTAGTGTATCTAGCATGTTTTGTTAACATAACAAGTCATCTTTCTTATTAGACAATGATCTTGGCAAACTTCTTTTGCACTTCAAAATGTCCGATAAGCAAAGTGAGTGGATAGAAAACTGCCGCAGACAATTTTGCAAAATGATGAAGGCCAAACCTGATATAATCAGTGGAGGTGGTGAGTATGTTTTAATTTTTGTGAGTTTTTTGGCTTGAAGAGTATATTAACAGAAGCTGTGTTTTCCTGAAAACTAGTACTGGCATGTCATATCTAGAATACATGATATTAATTCCAGAAGTCCATTGACTTCTGAGAAATTTGTGGTCCTAGAGAACAAAAATTAAAATTTAAGAAATTACTCAGCTTTCTTTTAGTACTGTTTCAGAGGCCTTGGAAGCTAAACCTACCTTTGCCTAGGTAACAGTTTGCTTGGTTTCACCAGCTTTCACCTAGCTATACCATACTGCTATGTTTTCGGAACTTTATTGAATGTTTTGACATATTTTGAAACTCCGCCACATCTAGCCAAATAAATTTAGTGACTTTTAAGGAAATTTGGGTGTGTGTGTGTGTGTGTGTGGGGAGGGATAGCTATGTTGTCTAAACCAGCAAGCAAGTTGTTTTATGTTCAGATATTTATATGTGTGCATGCTTCCTAAAATTATCATGTTTTAATTAACATTATCTTAAATAAAAATAGTCTAAGAAAAAAGCTCTAATGTCAATATAAGCTAGATTTCTTGAAAGATACAATTTAAAAATAATTGTCCTCTTTATCAGCCATGCTTTATGGTTTTCACATTTGTATCATTTGCTATAAAATTAAAAATGGGAAATAAAAATAAGTTTATATTTTGTTGGAGAAATTATATTTTCAGGGAATATGATATATATGGGCAAGAAATCAAACATTATTCTCCAAAATTTTAGTGTAAAATGAGCAGTTCACCTGTTTTATATGCCCCCATATATTTTAAAAATAGCTATTAGAAATATATATTTATCACTGGTTGCATAATAGGAAATATTTAAAATAGGTTTTGCAAATGCCAAAAGGTACAGAACAAAATGAGAAAGCAGCAGCTTGGAATATTGCTCAGTTTAAACACACTAAGTAAAGGTGTAGTTTTCTGAGTTTCTCTATTACAGGGATGGTGATAAGACGAGAGAAATCACCTGTTCAGTCCTATCCATGACTCTGAAACAACATAAACAAGTAGAACATTACCATTAAAACTGTGTTCTATTTGGAATCTTGGGGCACTTCCCACAAGATTTGATCTTAGTTCTACATTACTCTGATACCATGTCCACTGTTAGATTTTGAGCTACTTTCAAAAGTAGATCTTGACCTCTCTGCCCAGCAAGGTCTAGTAGGTTACACAAAACTAAGTTACTTTTAACAGCAACTTTATAAGATAGTCTGAATTTTATGGATAAGGAAACAAAAGCCAGGAAATGTTAGATAACAAGCTCAGTTCACAGTGGCAGACCCAAGAAGTGAATTTAAGCAGTCTGAATCCAAAACTCCGTGCTCAGTATCAGTTTGCGATACTACCTCTTTGCACCTCTTTACTACCTAATGTTTTCCACGTGGGAGGCAAACAACATTTATTAAGTAAACCCAGGTGAGCGTATACTGATTGAGATAGAAGATGATAAAAGTTTTTAATATCTCCAGTCTCATAGCATACTTGTTTTCTGTCTATAAGCTAAGATGAACTAATTTGGGGGGTAAGCTGCAGAAATACTAAACAAATAAATGCTTTTGTAAGGCAGGCATGCTTATTTGTGTGCATGCACATGTACATCTGGCTCTATAATCTGATTCAACTTGGGTTTTCTTTTTTTTTAAACATCTTTATTGGAATATAATTGTTTTACAATGGTGTGTTAATTTCTGCTTTATAACAAAGTGAATCACCTATATGTATGTGTATATACATGACTCTTTTTGAATTATGGTTTGCTCAGGGTGTATGCCCAGTAGTGGGATTGCTGGGTTGTATGGTAGTTTTTTGTGTGTGTGTGTGGTATGCGGGCCTCTCACTGTTGTGGCCTCTCCCGTTGCGGGGCACAGGCTCCGGATGCGCAGGCTCAGCGGCCATGGCTCACGGGCCCAGTCGCTCCGCGGCATGTGGGATCTTCCCGGACCGGGGCACGAACCCGTGTCCCCTGCATTGACAGACGGACTCTCAACCACTGTGCCACCAGGGAAGCCCCTGGTAGTTTTATATCTAGTTCTTTAAGGAGCCTCCATACTGTTCTCCAGAGTGGCTGTATCAATTTACATTTCCACCAGCAGTGCAAGAGGGTTCCCTTTTCTCCACACCCTCTCCAGTGTTTATTGTTTGTAGATTTTTTGATGATGGCCATTCTGACTGGTGTGAGGTGATACCTCACTGTAGTTTTGATTTGCATTTCTCTGATGATTAGTGGTGTTGAGCATCCTTTCATGTGTCTGTTGGAAATCTGTATATCTTCTTGGAGAGATGTCTATTTAGGTCTTCTGCACATTTTTGAATTGGGTTGTTGGCTTTTTTGATATTGAGCTGCATGAACTGCTTGTATATTTGGAGATTAATCCTTTGTCAGTTGCTTCATTGGCAAATATTTTCTCCCATTCTGAAGGTTGTCTTTTCATCTTGTTTATGGTTTTCTTTGCTGTGCAAAGGCTTCTAAGTTTCATTAGGTCCCATGTTGAATAGTAGTGGTGAGAGTGGGAAACCTTGTCTTGTTCCTGATCTTAGGGGAAATGGTTTCAGTTTTTCACCATTGAGGATGATGTTGGCTGTGGGTTTGTCTTACATGGCCTTTATTATGTTGAGGTAAGTTCCCTCTATGCCTACTTTCTGGAGGGTTTTTATCATAAATGGTGTTGAATTTTGTCTAAAGTTTGTCTGCATCTATTGAGATGATCATATGGTTTTTCTCCTTCAGTTTGTTAATATGGTGTATGACATTGATTGATTTGTGTATATTGAGGAATCCTTGCATTCCTGGGATAAACCCCACTTGATCAGGGTGTATGATCCTTTTAATGTGCTGTTGGATTCTGTTTGCTAGTATTTTGTTGAGGATTTCTACATCTATGTTCCTCACTGATATTGGCCTGTAGTTTTCTTTCTTTGTGACATCTTTGTCTGGTTTTGGTATCAGGGTGATGGTGGCCTCGTAAAATGAGTTTGGGAGTGTTCTTCCCTCTGCTATATTTTGGAAGAGTTTGAGAAAGATAGGTGTTAGCTCTTCTGTAAATGTTTGATAGAATTCACCTGTGAAGCCATCTGGTCCTGGGCTTTTGTTTGTTGGAAGATTTTTTTTTTGGGGGGGGGTGTACACGGGCCTCTCACCGCTGTGGCCTGTCCCATTGCGGAGCACAGGCTCCGGATGCACAGGCTCAGCGGCCATGGCTCATGGGCCCAGCCGTTCTGTGGGACGTGGGATCTTCCCAGACCGGAGCACGAACCTGTGTCCCCCGCATCGGCAGGCGGACTCGCAACCACTGCGCCACTAGCGAAGCCCTGTTGGAAGATTTTTTATCATAGTCTCAATTTCTGTGCTTGTGATTGGTGTGTTTAATTTTCTGTTTCTTCCTGTTTCAGTCTTAGAAGGTTGTGCTTCTCTAAGAATGTGTCCATGTCTTTCAGGTTGTCCATGTTATTGGCATATAGGTGCTTGTAGTAATCTCTCATGATGCTTTGTATTTTTGCAGTGTCACTTGTTACTTCTTTTTCATTTCTAATTCTATTGAGTCTTCTCCCTTTTTTTCTTGATGAGTCTGGCTGATGGTTTATCAATTTTGTTTATCTTCTCAAAGAACCAGCTTTTAGTTTTATTGATCTTTGCTATTGTTTCCTTCATTTCTTTTTCATTTATTTCTGATCTGATCTTTATTATTTCTTTCCTTCTGCTAACTTTGGGGTGTTTTTGTTCTTCTTTCTCTAATTGCTTTAGGTGTAAGGTTAGGTTGTTTATTTGAGATGCTTTTTGTTTCTTGCAGTATGATTGTATTGCTATAAACTTCCCTCTTAGAAGTGCTTTTGCTGCGTCCCATAGGTGTTGGGTCATCGTGTTTTCATTGTCATTTGTTTCTAGGTATTTTTTGTTTTACTCTTTGATTTCTTCAGTGATCTCTTGGTTATTTAGTAGTGTATTTAGCCTCCATGTATTTGTATTTCTTATAGATTTTTTCCTGTAATTGATATGCAATCTCATAGTGTTGTGGTCAGAAAAGATACTTGATACAATTTCACTTTTCTTAAATTTACCAAGGCTTGATTTGTGACCCAAGATATGATCTATTCTGGAGAATGTTCTATGAGCACTTGAGAAGAAAATGTACTCTGCTGTTTTGGCAGGGAATGTCCTATAAATATCAATTAAGCCCATCTTGTTTAATGTATCATTTAAAGCTTGTGTTCCCTTATTTTGTTTCATTTTGCATGATCTGTCCATTGGTGAAAGTTGAAGTCCCCTCCTATGGTTGTGTTACTGTTGATTTCCCCTTTTATGGCTGTTATTATTTGCCTTATGTATTGAGGTGCTCCTATTTTGGGTGCATAAATATTTACGATTGTGATTTCTTCTTCTTCGATTGATCCCTTTATCATTATGTAGTGTCCTTCTTTGTCACTTGTAATAGTCTTTGGGTTTTTTTGGTTTTTGGGGTGGGTTTTTATTTGCGGTATGCGGGCCTCTCACTGTTGTGGCCTCTCCCGTTGTGGAGCACAGGCTCCGGACGTGCAGGCTCAGCAGCCATGGCTCAAGGGCCCAGCCACTCCGCAGCATGTGGGGTCTTCCTGGACCGGGGCACAAACCTGTGTCCCCTGCATTGGCAGGCAGACTCTCAACTACTGCACCACCAGGGAAGCCCTAGTCTTTGTTTTAAAGCCTATTTTGTCTGATACGAGAATTGCTACTCCAGCTTTCTTTTGTTTTCCATTTGCATGGAATATCTTTTTCCTTCCCCATACTTTATGTATGTGTCCCTAGCTCTGAAGTGGGTCTCTTGTAGACAGCATATATATGGGTCTTGTTTTTGTATCCATTCAGCCAGTCTATGACTTTTGGTTGGAGCATTTAACCCATTTACATTTAACGTAGTTATCGATATGTATGTTCCTATTACCATTTTCTTCACTGTTTTGGGTTCGTTATTATAGGTCTTTTCCTTCTCT